AGACGATTGAACGTTGCTGGTGCGTTCGACAGCCCCTGGGGCACGACCAGCTACTCCCAGAGCATACCGCTCGGAATACTCTCCGCTATCAGCGGAATGTCGCTCGCTCTCATGAGCAATTGGTAGTAACCATCGATCAAGTCGAGTGCGCTGTACAGCGTACAGTCTACCATGTTGTTCTGCAGAACATCCTTGCGATGAATCGGCGTTTGCGCCGGGATAGTGGCCGCATTTAGCTTGTTAAAAGCATGAACAATGCGCCACTTGCCGTTCGGCTTTCTGACACAGAACATGGGTGTCGATTGCGTAGACTTACTCTCACGCACCATCCCTGCCTCGTGCTTCGCACGAAAGAATGCGTCAATGACGTCACACTGCTCTCTCGGTAAAGGCCATTGCCTTGTTACGCAGTATTTGGTTCCAGGAACGAGGTCAATCTCGTGACACACGCCTGAGGCAGGCCCGTCGGTGGGTCTTTCGAGACAACGTCTCCATACTTCTTCACCACTGAGTAGAAGGGATCCGAAGGATCTTTTAGGATTGCCGATCCTCTTCTTGCGCTCAGCGCCTTCTTGGTGTCCTCTAGGACCGCGTCGTCACGACGGAATGAGGAGTTCAACTCCTCCTCGGGTCCCAGCAGGACCACATCGGCTAGCTCGCCTGCCTTCAAGGCTTCGCCAAACTCGGCGATGAACATCCCGTCCAGATCAAGCAGAGTATCTACAGCGGATAGAGTGTCAAGGCTGATGTCGCCTTCGACCTCCCCGGTCACTTCATTGACGAGTGTGTGCAGCTGTTCACAGCAATCACGTGGAGCCTCACCGCTCATCACGCTGGACACCTCGTCCGACGTCGAAGACGTCACAGACGCCCTGCGTCTTCTTCTCCTCTCCCTCCGCGACCGAGCCCGGGTGGATGAGGGCGGTGTGGCGACATCTTCATCACCACCACCGGGTGCAGCAGCATCATCACTCCTCGAAAGAGGATACAGTGTCTCGCAAGACACTCGGCTGAGAGCCAAGAGGTCCTTGACCTTCACACAGTGAACTAGGTGTCACTTCACCTGCATCTCCTGGGCCGCGCCCACGATGCCTCGACTCGCAGTTCGACCGCGAATCTCGGGCCACGCAGCGGTAGGTCATCGACCAGATTCGTACCACTCAGTGGATTACGCGCCACTCCGCGTTCGTCCTCACCAGGACCCAGCAGTTGGTTATTGACCTGACCTGCACCGCTCAGCGGATAACGTGCCGCACCACGTACGCCCTCAGGGCAAACAGCAACCTCGTTGCTAACACTTTCGGACATACCAATGTCCAGCACTACGGCCGCATCGGCCCCGTGCTCGCACCAAAAGCGCTTCTGCTTCCTAGCAGAGGTGGGTTCATGACTCACCAAAGCTCCACTAGGAGCAGGGTGCGACGCACCCAGCGTTTTTGACTTACAGTCGATCCATGGCTCATGGCGTTTCAGCCATGCCATGCCAAGGATGAGGTCATACCTCGCATCCAGGTCTAAGACCAAACAGCGTTCCACGCTATCGAAGTTCTCAAGCTTCACTCCAAGATCGACAGAGACCTTCGACACAATTACCAGTATCCCCGTCGCGAGACGGACAGTGATCATATCTCTCGCTGGCACTTCCAGTGCCTCAGCATACAGCTGACTCCCTTCCAGGGTGGAGCGACGAGCGTAGTTGCCCGAGGCTCCCGAGTCGATCAAGACTCTCCATGACTTTGCAAAGCCTTTCACATTCGCTTGAACGACCAGCAAGCCCGGCTTGCACACACGCTTCTCGTAAGAGAGCCCAGCTCTCTTCGGGGTTGAGCCCCGTTGCCCTCTACCTCCTCGAGGCACAACATAACTCAGTTCTCAGTAGGCCGCCTCGCGCCTACTAGGGGTTGCCGTTTCCCGGCGATATAACCGAAGGGTTGGCTCGCCGGAGCCTCGCGCCTTTTGCGCAGAGGGCAATAAGCCTTCAAATACTAAGTGCTATTGCACACAAAGCATCGGCGGATGCCGGCGCGCTGCTCCGCAGCGAGAAGTTCCGCTTCTTCGTCTTTAGCATAGCAGAGGTCCATTGGCTCTGGACCGCTCGAAGAGCTTGCGCTACTAGCGCTCCACCCAGGTCGAGCCAACCTGAAGTTGTGCTCGGCATTCAATGCCACATCCACCACCTCTTCGAAAGAGTTAGGGTGTACATGGAGCACTTCCGTTCGAGCTGCGCTCACACGAAGTCCCTCCATGAACACGGTCACGCTGACCAGTTCCAGAAGAGGGTCCGCCGCCATTCCGGCGATAAGAGTTCTCAACTCTTGGACTTTTTTAATAACTCTTTCTTACCCTGGCGGGTAGCAAGGAGCTTCGACCGAATACGGTACGCCTGATTAGGCGGCGCGAACACGCGCGAAAGCTGTTGATTTAGCTGATCCCAATTGGGAAATGCAGCGTCAACAGACGTGCCGCACGTTAGTGCCCATTCGCGAGCGCGACCTCCAAGTCTGGGGATAGCCAGCGCCACGCGCTGATGCTCAGACTGGAGCAGGGCCGATCCCATGGCCACCTCGTCCTCACGGGGTCCATTCTCTCCAACCTTTCCCTCGAAGTTTTTTACGCTCACCATGAGGGGGTTTCAGTCTCATAGACTCATCACGTGTCATCGACGCCGCCGCCACTGGGGCGCTTCATCTTCTCTTGAATGTGCTCCAAATCCTCTCTCTCGTAGCGGGAGAGCGATTCCAGCCTGGCGGTGACCACCTCTGGACCTTGCGACGCAAGATGAGCCACGCCCTCCGGGCCAAGCAACGACATAAGCTTAGTAAGCGCGTCCTGCTGCGCCGGGGGCAAATTCGCGAACACGAGGTGTTCCATCCTCGCAGAGGATATAGTCAACCGACGCAGGAGCGGGATTGACTACAAGTGCTACCAAGTGCATCGGGGCTGCCGTAGCTTTAGCGTCAGACGAAGACGCTCGACTCAAATAGTCCTTAATACTAAGTTCCTTATCCAAAGGAGCTTACAGCCCAAGACCAGGGCTCAAAGTTAATACCTTAGCATTTATGCATCAAAACCAGAAGTGTTTATATACTATTATTGCGGCCAAGCCGCCCAGGGGTAAATGTGGTGTAGTAGAACACACAAATACCGTCAGATGTGGATTCCTTACACAAACCACAACGAATCGCCGAGTTAGGTCGGCGGTTGTATGGCCTGCGCAGAGGGTGGCCCCCTCGCGGTCCGGCCCTCCCGGGACAGACGAGTGGCTCGCTTCCTCTCGGTTCCGACTAACCAAGTCAGATCACTTCCGAGGCTCCGCCGAGTTTGGTTCGGCTGAGCTCGTTCACCCTCCACCAAAGGATGGACGACGGCGCGCGAGCGCTTTTACAGGTCACCGAGCGTAGAGGCTGCTCAGCTAGAAGTGCTACGGCACCCGGGCTATCCGACGTACCGGCCCGCTGAGTATGCGGGGCTTTCTTTCGCGCGTAGCGAGACTTTGTCTTACCCGGACCGACCTAATCTCTTGGCGCTACCAGTCAATACCCTACAAGCTATGCCTCTCGAGTATTGACGGCAGGCATAATCCAGCCCTATGCAGGGACTTACCGGAAAAGTGTACACGTGTCTTGGACTAGGAAAATTCTGCTCTGTTATCTTCTGGGAGCCTTTTCGGCTCTCCCTATTTAATCCTATGCTTCTATTACAAATATCTAGTGAGATGTGGTCGTTTCTGATCTCTACCGACCCTTCAGGCGACTGTTGAGCTCAGCGGCTATCCGGATAGCATATCCGGACAGATCGCCGAGTACTTACCGTGATCCTTTGTTCCTAAGCGCTGGATTATCGGACCGAGCCGATTCTTGATCTAAAGTAGGCTGGCGTATGGTCGAATCTGAAAATCCCTACACCACATAAATGTATCTGTTTAACTATCTAGCATAGTTAAACCTAATCAAATGCATAACGTGTGGCTTTTAGCCAGCGTACTGATGGACTTTGTTAACTCTCCAACTTATGTACTGAGCGTATGTTAACTATCCAACTTATGTACTGAGGGTTTGTTAACTCTTCGGGTACTCCGTACCCCTGTGTGCTCCACACCATGTAACCCCGTAACAGACGGGGTCACACAGCACCTTGCGCTAGAGTAAGTTGGCTTCCGAGAGTTTACAAACTGGCAGTTAACTTTACCTAAGGGAGCGACGTGACCATTTTAAGGTAAGTTGTGAGCTGAGTATATTTATAGGTAGGCTAAGCTTGAGTTAAAAATACAACTAATTTATAAAAGCAATGTAATCAGCCAATAGTTGGCCTCGGACGACCCTGGTACCGTGTACCAAATATCCCGAAGTATGACGTGTCACACTTCATGTAGCTAGAGGTACACCTTGGGCTACGTACCCCGGTACAGTTTCCTACTTCTGTAGTGTTGCGACACAATATAACGCTTAAGCAGCGCTTCTACAGTACATGTACACTGTACTGTATCAACAGGATACAGTAAAATAGCGGTCATAATGGTAATTAAATAGCCGCTGTTTGGTTTTGCAATTTCTGCGAGATTGATGAAAATCAGAGGAATTAGCTTAACTTTTACAGCAAACCCTCGCACCTTAGAAAAATTTCCTCCCCCCTAACCTTAGCTTGCTGCAGGTGTCACTGTCACGTTTAATAATTTACAGTGTAAGTTACACCGTCTCGGGAGAAGACACTCAGTGCCAGTACACTACTGAAGCAGAATATCGGGCGAGTTGGGGCGCGTCCAGCATCAGGCAGCTGCACACACACCCCCTCGTTCCCCCTCCAAGTGAGTGAGCGAGATCTAGCGTGTCTGGACCTCCGTTGCGCGTGTGGGTCTATCGGCTGCGGCGCCTGCCCCGCGGCCTCGTCTCGTTACTTTGCCCGTTGTGAAAGCGTCGCGTGATCTGTCCGCCCTTGCGGCTGGAGCTAACAACAGGAACTGGAAGCTTACCATATATCATTGGTGTGCCACGTGCTGTATTATGACCGGAAGTGATGGTCACTTTGGACTTTGGAGGAGACGCAGAACGCTGCTGCTCGTCGTGTTAGGTGTGCTGTTATTGCCGCAAGGGATTGTCGCCGATGCCGTGGCGCCTGCGTACTCATACGCCGTAGCTCAATCCTCAGACGTTGTGGTAGCTGGTGGTCTGGATGGCCGTGTGTACGCTGTCAACGCCTGGTCGGGCGAAGTCTTGTGGTCCTTCGACTCCGGTGGTCCAATGGTGGACTCGTCACACTGTGTGGCAGTAAACTCAGCCATGACTCCAGACATGCCACCTAACTATCACTCGGCGACTGAAAACCCGCCTGAACAGGCAGAAGCCGACGTGGACGTCGACGGAAGCGTCCACGTCTCGACGACAGGCACAGAGGATAAGGAAGTGGAGGATCACTCGGTGATTCAACAGCAATCGACGTCAGTGGAGGCGATGGCAGCCAGCGCGGCCTTTATGTCGCAGTTGGTACCGTCCTATGATGGCAGATTGTATCATTTCTCGAAGAGCAGAGTGAAGGAGCTCGGGATGACAATGGCTGATATCGTCAACGTGAACGGACCCGTGCGTGTGGCTGTGGAAGCTGCTATCGGACCTAATGTGGGCGATTTTGCGGCGGATATTCTACTGTTTGGCGAAAAGAAACTGGAGATGTTTACGTTGGATGCCGTAAGCGGCTTTCGTCGCCCTTACTCGTCGTCTACAGTATCAACTGCGATGGCTAGGGAGATTCTGTTCGGCCGCTCGGAGCTCACTACGCGTGCTGTACACCCTCGAAATGCTTCATTCGCCCGCTGTTTCAAGATATCAGAGTTTTTCTTGGACTTTGCGCTACAGGCTCACTGCTCAATGGGGGACGGTGGTAGCAACATGGTTCCTGAGATTCTCGTGATGCCAAAGGATCCTAACTCTGCATTGGATGACGAAGGATCTACCATTGTGGCGTTTGATCCGTGGACAAGTGAGCAGCTGTGGGAGCTCGAGATTCCAGACTTTGATGCCCTCGCTGTGTACGGAGTATCAATAACGCGTGGAGCCACATTCTACAAGTGGAAAGTGGACGGTCCGTCCTCAACTGCTACACGTCGGACACGGACTCCAGCTCAGGTGGCAGAAGGTGGATCGAATCAGCGCCAACGTCGGATTGATACGAGTAACAATGAGGAGCCAGCGGTCTCTGAAGATCAAGAGCGGAACAAACAGGGCTATAATGCTCACAACCAACTTGTCCGTGTGGTTTCACGCACGTGGGACGCCATGGAGTCGAATTTTAGGCTGCGTGTTTTGGGTGACAACTACTTTCTCGAATCTTTTGAAGACGACGGTGTGGCGGACCGTGGCACTAGCCAGGGCTCACGTGATTTACCCACTTTCCATGGGCGACAAGCCGACGATGTCCACGGCCTCCATGACGAGACAGGCCCTCACCGCCGTCCAAGAATCTTCTGGGAGCCCATTGTGAACGACGGCAAGCAAGGAGTGTTCATCACGTACACTCACGTTGGGGCAATGTTGCTGGGCGTAGCCACCTGTGGTATCTTATTAGCCTGGGGCTGCTACGTCAAGGGTTTGTCAGCCTCGTTAGCGCAGTCAGCTATCAAGACGATGGACCAGAGTCAGTTCTTTACTTCGCATGTACACCGACTTGTCATCCACCGTCCAGGAGAGGATGACATCATCATATCAAGTGTAATCAGTCGCTCGCTCATGATGAACGCACTGGGCGTGGATGGCCAGGTACCACTGCTGGAGAATGGCGAGTCTGTGAACATTTTGTCGACGGATTTTAACGTCAACGCTAACCCAGCGACCGAAGCCAGGCTGATGGAAACATTTTCCCGTCTAGCTGCCAATGAAGCTGCAGCAATCCTTCTCAACCGTGGACGTGTCGGTACTAAGCAGAAGCTTCTTGGAGTTGACTTAGATGCTGATTCCAACGCCACTACGGCTACGTCTTCATCCTCTGTGTCGTCCCTGACAGATATGATTGTCAAAGGTGTCGCTACGTCGTCGTCAACTGTCCAAATTTCCAGCCAGGTGGGTTCACTTGCAGGCAGAAAAAGATTTACTCTTCCCTACGCAGGCGACAAATCACTGACGGAAGAGGACGTTGCGGACGTCTATGAAGTGAAGATGCTATCTGAAGACGACGAAGAGTTTCTATATCCAGCTCCTGATCACGTGTTCGACAATGGCCGATTCGAACTGGCCGATTCAGACGATGATATCTTCTTTGAAGGTGGGGAGGACTCTGGAGCAACCGTAAGTGGAGCGAAATCAATAAGCTCTTCTGGAGAATCTACTACCGGAAGCTGCAGCAGCAGCAGTAATAGTGACAGCTGTAATAGCCACGCTGTGAACAAGTCAAATGACATGAACTCTATGCGCGAAGGTATCATCACAGATGAAAAGTCCGGTGAGGAAAAGTCCAATGCCCAAGAGTCATCCGATTCTTCGTCAGCTGAATCTGCTGTTACCTCTCCAAATGAGGCAGAGGTTCTCTTCCCGTTTGTGTGTCAAAGTCGTTTTGTGAACGAGTTTGAAGAACTGTCAGCACTTGGCAAGGGTGGATTTGGTCAAGTTATGCTGGCTGAAAACCGTCTTGATGGACGCAAATATGCGATCAAGCGAGTTGGATTGAACCTCAAGAATCAGACATCCACAACCTTGCAGAAATTCTTGCGCGAGGTGAAGATTTTGGCTTTATTGGACCACTCGAACATCGTGCGGTACTATCAGGCATGGCTGGAAAAGGTTGAAGAGGACACAAAGAGGACGCCTGCAGCTTCAGCTTCGGTTTCGTCCAATACAAGCTCATTCGGCGGTCTTGCCAAAGCAAAGAACTACTCGACTAGTAATTTGCTTGCACCTATTTCGGAGCTTGAATTCTCGGGAAACAAGTGGCAGTTGGACACGTTTTACAGTAATCGAAGCATGACGAGTGACAATGATGATGGATTTGATTGGGATCGAGGTTCTTCTTCTGCAGTGGAAGGTGAAAATGGATGGAAGGAGGAAGATCTGGTTGTGCAGAATCAACCACGCACAAGAATCCTACCGTCTCAAGTATCTGCGTCCCCCTCACCAGGTAATCATGGAACTGGGGAGGATTCTTCGTTTAATGCGGCCGATAAGTGCGACCACTGGCTGTACATTCAGATGCAGTACTGTGCAGGGCGCAACTTGGCCGATTACCTTGCTGTGCCTACTCGTCCAATGGAGTTATCGCGGATGTTGAAGATCTTCGTGCAGATTGCTAGTGCCTTAGCTCATGTGCATTCTTGCGGACTGATTCATCGCGATCTAAAACCAGCGAACATATTCGTCGCTGACGTAGAGCGGGATGAGATTAAGCTGGGAGATTTTGGTCTATCGCGATACGCTGCGAATGTGAACAACCTGAATGCTTCCGCGTCTCTGGATGATTCGCAACAAGGTCTTCCAGAGTCTGGTGGGCTCCGGGAAACTCCTCTGTCGACGTCGATGTGGTCTAATATGTCAGAGAGCAACGAAGTCACAGCGGGCGTTGGCACGTATCTATACGCAAGCCCCGAGCAGGTTGCTGGCAAGAAGTACAACGCTAAGACTGATATTTACTCGCTGGGAATGATACTTTTTGAGCTGTGCCACGAGCGGTTTGGAACAACTATGGAGCGGTATATCACTCTGCGCGATGCCCGAGACAGCAAGTTCCCTGTTGGTCTTCGTGCGGCTAAGAGATGTCCTGAGATTCTGGACATGCTTCGCAAGTTGTTGAGTCATGAGCCGACCACGCGACCAACCGCCGATGAGGTTGTTGAATGGGGACAAATGATGTACGAAACGAGTCTTGCTCAGAAGGCCATGGACGTTGTGCGCTCGCCTCGCAATCTGGATATGGCAAGAGCCGCGGCTACTCACCTGATGCCTGGTATCGACCACTTGATGGCCAGCGTGCCTATCGAAGTGGTAGCCACGACCACATTTTCACTCAAGGTGGAAGCTGCGATGGAGCATTGCAGTGGCGAGGACGGCGGAGAGCGCCGCTTGCCCAACCATAATTTATTGAAGCAAGTGTGCGACGTGATCGCCGGAGTGAGCAACGGTAAGGTCGAGATCAAAAAGTGTGGACTGCACATGGAGAGCGAGGGCGTGACGATTCTCGAGTTCGAGCTGGACCCGCAGGCCGCACTGGCAGATGCCCCTGACAGTGACGTGGAAGGCTCCGTGGTGGTGGCGATTGAGGCCCTAGCTGGAGTGCAGATTGTGCATCGTGTGAACAAGATCGCTTAACCCCACAGTTTCAGGTGATCAGAGCCAAGAAAAACATGAGTTAGTTTAGTTCAATCGAGTACAATAAAAAAAAAATACCCGACCTGTTTCAAGCAGGCATGAATCAATTGACTCGAGCCTTGGGATGCTACGTCGACGTGGTTTCTTACAAAGAGGGGGGGGGGGTGAAGTGACAATCACTCTGTCCCGCATTGCCATTCCGCATTCATACGACGGCCTCGTCGCGACGCTAAGGATGTCATCGGAGGAAGCCGTGGCATCTCCTCCAGTGGACCTGGAGATGCTCGGTGATTTGCTGATCTTTCAGGTCGTGGAGCTCGCATCTGAGTTCTCCAGCTACGGACAGAGCCTTCTGAGTCGATATCATCATTTTGACGACACCAGGGGAATTCTTCTCGATAGCGGCTTTCGCCTCGCGCGCTGGCTGAGGCAAAGACTTCGTCCAGAGCAAAAAAACACAAAGGAGCTTCTCCCACTTCCCCAGCCTGCTGTGTTTCCTTTGACTATACAGCACATGGACTACATCACAGAGCGCTTCAGCGACGTGAAGACCCAGTTGCAACTGATGTATGCAGCAGTGGAGGATCTTCATACGAAGGAAGATCAGATCGACAGCAAGCTCAGTCGTCTTCACGAGCAGTTGAGACGGATCCCAACTTGTCGCTGCGAGAAATTCACTCCTTCCTCTCACCTTTCTAAATTAACCTGCAACATGAAAACAACTCGAGAGAATAGACTGGTTGGCTTGCGAAATGAGACGCCAACGCCGGTGCTGCAGGTGGATCGGCTAGAGGTTCCTTTGTGAGAAGAAGCTGCTTGTGATATGGGATTGGATATCGCGACAATTAAATGTGATGGGTTTGCTGAACATCAGAAACTTTGCTTGCCCACCAACTACGCTGCGCGAAGATACTTCTGCGGTCTTGAATTGGATCACTAAAGCTGTGGACGGTGGGTAAGCCTATATTAATCTGCCGTGTACTGAATGTGAGAAGACGATTATTCACTGGCCTTGAAAATATGTGTACATGTAGAACAGCAACGTTGCAGGACGACGGGTATCAACTTCCGCAAAAGAATAATAATTTAGGCGCTGGGCCAGACACAACGCAAGCATTCCTTGCAAGTGTGCTGCCTTTGGCGGGGCAAGGCGAGTTGAAACGACGGGTCACGGATTTCTAGTCAGCGATACGTACCGCTCTGCACTATCATTTTGTCCCTTACCTCTTTTATCAAACTTTTTCATCTGCAAGTTCACTTTGAAGACAACATCCACCAATGCATAACCTCCTTCTCACTGTATCGACGACGGCTATGTTCGCGATTCTTATCCGCTCGACAAAGACCAGAAATGACTTCTTTTTTTTCAGGTGGTCTAAGTGTCGCTTCTCGGTGGAGTGAGTCAATTCCTGTTGCAAAAAGTATATCACAACCATAGAACACTTAAGTTCTCGTGCCAAGCTGATTGACGACAGCGATTAAATCGTTTCTGCGGCAAGCTTATGCCCCGGTTTGATGCATGTACACACAGAACCGTGGGGATTTCGGCGCGAAAGGTTGCCCCGCGAAGCGTTTCTCTTGTACATGAGTGACTGACGTGTAGTGGTCTTCGACGAGCTTCTTCGAGCACATCCCAGCGAGTCTTGTAAAAACCTGTGGGGTCAAAAGTCAACGTGACGGCACGACCTGAAGTGTGACGTCTTCTTGCAGGACTTGTTGATTACTCAGCGCCATGACACCGGCAGCCCTTCATCAAGGTAACAGCGCTATTAAGCTTCGGTCCCTGGATTGCACTGAAAAAATGGCGGGGCATTATCATACTGTTCTGCCTTCTTTGCCTTCTCCTCAAGCGACAGTAGTTCCCTCTACAGCAATAATGCCGCCACCAGCAGTGACTTAGAGAAGATCGAGCGACGCCGCGCACTAACCCGCACTAGACAGCTGCGGTATCTCCAGAAGAAACGTCAATACGAAAACGATCTTAGAGCATCTGTCGCGAGACTGCGGACAGAGGTGCAGCAGTTGCAACAATGTCTGCACGAGCTTCAATTGATGAAATCAACTCCTCCTTCACTGCCACTTTTGGGAGGTTCTTCGCGAATCAACGTCCTACAAACTGCTCAAAGCTTTATTCGCGGCTTCCATTCAAATTTCTCGCTGACAGAAGAAACGGAATGGTTGCCGTGTGGATCTTCGAATCAAGACCAGATCCGCTTCATCCAGCAGTCGATCCACCCAGATATTCGTCATGGTAAGTTGCATGGACAGAGTGCATTCCTCGAACAGTGGCGGCGCTACACGGCATTCTTCGGGTTTTTGGCGCTGACCCCCAACAGCTTTGAGCTGGTGAGTCACGGCGACGAGCCTGAGTCGATGTGTCGCGTGGACCTCACCATGTCACTTGGCCTTGTGTCTGCTACCTTCTGGAACGTATTCCCGCATCTCCTGCAGCCACAGCACGCAGGGCTCCTTGACCGCCTAATGAATCAGCAAATCCACGTGCCAATGACGCTGCTGTTGCAGTTCGACGACGAAAATCGGGTGGTGCACTACGATCAGTCACTGAACTTCGTCAAGGCGCTGCATTCACTATTGTATAACTATGAAGACGTCGCTGTCGTGCTCCAGAACGCTCACGTCTTCTTTTGCGGTCATATCGGCAGCGACATCACCTCGCCCCGCGATGTTCGCCATGCTCTTTCCTTCCTGCTCACTAACAACGTCGACTAGCGACAGTTTTCCACCAATAAACAGCCCCCAATTTCATTTGACACCACACTTACAAATTTCCAGTTTCCCGCCCTGCAATGATTGCACATCGACGCCACCGGCAAAGTACACTCCATTCCTCATCTCGCCCGCCCCCCACTCCAACCGTAATGGCTGCTAAACAAAGCCCCATGCGCATGTTTATCATGCTGCCGATGATTTTCCTCATGGGCAAGATCGACTTTGAAAACGAGACGACACTCATGGCCGCACGCACGGCCTTTTTCGTGTGTCAAGTCACTGCTCTACTCGTGGGGCTCTACCTCAAGCAGCTCATCGAGCGCAAGCATGACACGCGCAAGATCTTCGTGCCCGGCGTTAAGTCGCCTTTCGACCAGTCTCCCAACTACGGAGAGCTGACGGAGACGACGTACGAGGCCCACGAACTGGCCAAGGCCAACGAGTTCATCAAGCAGACGCTCATTGGCGCGGGCATTTCGTCGCTTATCCACTTCAAGATGGGCGTCAACCACGTCGTCATGATCCAGAGCGTCATGATGCCTATGAATCTGTGGGACAATCCTCTCGTACAGGCCTACATTCTGGGCCGTCGCAATGGCCGCATCTGGAACGAGCGTCTCGAGGGCGAATCGGCTGAGGACGCTGCTGCTGCTGCGGCGGCTAATTCTTCGGCTGCTACGGCCACAGCTACGACCACGACGGCGTCATCTAGTAAAAGCAAGAAGACGGACTTGGCCCCGGAGGAAGCCATCGCTGATGCACTGGCGGCAGGTGCGGACGCCGACTTTGACGCGCTCTGGACTCTGGTCAAGAGCGAGGTAAACGCCCGGACAGTCGAGGACCAGTGGACTGCACTCATGGTGGCCTGCGGATCCCCCGTGGATACGGACGACTTCATTAAGAAGGTGGTGAAGGCTGGAGCTGACGTTCTCGCTGTGGACGGAGACGGATGGACCGCACTGCACTGGAGCGCGTTCCATGGTCGACCGGAGGCAGCTGAGGCTCTTCTGTCCAGCATCTCGGCTTCCAAGCGCGAACAGCTGCTGGTAATTAAAGCAACTGACGGCCGAACGGCAGCTGAGGTCGCTAAGGGCGAAGAGAACGCTGACGTGGTCGAGATCCTGGCCAGTTTCGCCAATACTGGATCTAACGAGCAGGAATCCACGCTGCGTCAGCGAAAGGCCGGTGCTTCGTCGGTGGAAGACGTGGACTAGACGAGGATCTACGTAGGTCTGTAGTAGTTTCTCGCGCGTTTGATGTGCACTCGCCCAGTGCACGTGTGGTCATTTGTAGACGGAAGACAAGCGGCGGTTGGAATGAACTGCTGCTCTGCCCCCCCCCCCTCCCTAAAAAATACATAGCGATCCTTCGAAATCAGTTGGTGCAGCAAAGTCCTTGACTCGCTGCACCGTTCCAAGTACGTGGCTGTTTCATACTCTGCACTAATACTGATATCCTGCTCTACGTGTAGTTTCGTCCGTTGCACCACCATCCATACCTTTGGGGACAAGGCGTGAGGTGTCGGCAGTTGGTGAGATCTCAGAAACTGCTGTAGAGTGACTTGACCAGGTCACTTTCTCGCGAACCCAATGGACGAGGCAAGAGAGACACGGCATGATCTGATTTTAGATGACCCTCCTCGTGTGCCTGAAGCACAGGAAATGGTGGAATCCTCGGCGTCACCTCCTTCGCCCGAGCTGACGCTTAGACTGGACGATTTAGCGCAAGATCGAGCACGTGACGATCAAGTTGGAACCAATGATGGTGATGAAGAACAGAAGAGCAATGAGGGAGGAGAATTTCCACTCCAACGACAAGAGCTGGGACGACAAAGACAGATAGATCGTGATGCAAAGCTCATGGAGGCTCGACTACAGCGCAACTTGAAGCAGCAGCAAGCTCACCATGCTCGTCAGCGGAAACTATTCGAGAACTTGCGAGCCGAACCCTCTCCGTCTTCAAGAGGCAGTGATTCGCCCCAGTCAAGTGACGATCCTTTCGTCAAAGAACGAGCCATCTCTCCTCGTCAGGGTTTTAATGCGGCCAAGACAAGATCCTGTATACAGAAGGAAGGGCCCGTGCGAATTGACTCGTTTTCCCGACAGAGGACTCATTTCTCACGTGGATGCCATAGACATCGTCACTCTTCACTTCCCAGCGACGATACCAATGATGAAGACGATGACTCGCACGCGCAACAGATGCTCCGTCGCATCAAGGAGAAAGCTCGAGTTAGATTCCACCGCAAGCGTTTATCAACTGGAGAAAGCTTAACAGCCAACATTGGTTCCAAAGCCCCTACAGCCTTTTTCGAGGAGATGCAGCAACAAGAAGCATCAAATGACGCACTACGCCGTCAGCTGGAACTGCTCCGTCGCTTGCAACTGGAGAATAATCGCTTTCGACACGAAGTAAGGTCCCTGCGAGAGCGGAATGAGGTGTTGAAAGAGCGTGATGAGATCCGGGAACGTGAAGTGAAGCGCCTGCGAGAAGAAGTTAGCGAATTGGACGCCAAAGTTCAGCGTGACCAAGTGAGTCTGGCAACGGCACCACAGACAGCACACTCGCTCAAAGTGACGCAGAAGAAGCTGACAGCAGCCCAGGCCGAGATTCGCGACCTGCAAGCCGCTTTACAAGAGACACGAGAAGCACGAGATCAGCTGCAATCCGAGTCACAGTTGGAGATTTCGGATCTGGCGCTGGAATTGAAGCGATGGAAACGCAACATGAAGCAGCATCGTCAACAAGAACATCGTAGCAGTGAAGAGATCGAGTTGTACAAGAAAACTGTAACAGATTTAGAAGCAGAAGTGGCTGAGCGGCGCTCTAAATTCAAAGAAACGAAGCGGGAAATCGCCGAACTAACTGCGACTTTGGCGAAAACGACTGCACAATGCGCGTTAGTCGAGACAACCGCCGCGGATTGTGTGAAACGTATGGAGGAAGGTATGGAGGCTTTACAGAAGGCAATCACACACGAACGTGAGAAGCGAAAGAAGGTCGAGACTGTGCGCAGCAATCTGCAAATGCAGATGGAGCGCATGCAAGCAGAGAACGCTCTACTTCTGGACAAGAAGCGAGAGCTGGAGCAACAATTAGCTCTTTTCCAGGAGCATTGGACGGAGCGTAAACAAGCGTATCAGGAACAGCTCCAGAGGATTGCCGCTCAGCTGGAGGATCACGCCTCCAAGCACAAAAGCGACGCTGCTACAATTGGCAGTTTACGTGAGGAATACGAAGCCCTTGAGAGCCGCTTGGGAGAAGCTCAAGCGGTAGCGACTGAGTTGAAGCTGGAGGTTGTTGAAGAAGCACGTACAGCTCAGAAGCAAGCTGAGGCACTTCGCAAATATGTTGAACGAGCTCTTCATGGCACGAGTGAAGCTGACGACGCGGCAATCGAAGCTCAAGCGGATTCGGGGCGACCGTGTGCGGTGCCAGAGCTTCAGATTGTCCAAGCTGCGATATCTGCGCTGCGGAACGAGACAATGAACATTGTGCACGAATTTCAGCATGCTCGCCACCTTGTTCGACAGCAAGGGAGTAAACTGACGCTAGCAGTGGAGCATGTATCCGAGCTAGAGCATTTGCGAGCGGATGATGCTGCAAAGATGAATGAATTGCGCGAGCAGCGTAACCTGGCCAAGCAAGCACGTGAGATCGCCAGCAAAGAGAAGACGGAGGTGCTCAAGTGGAGTGAGAAAAACTGCGAGAGAATTGGAAGTTTGGAAGCAGAGCTAAACAAGTGCGGACAGCTCGTTTTTCGTGTGCGAAAGGTGGTGCATGACGCTCTTGACGCAGAGGGGTCTTGGGATAAGCCAGAGTCTGTCGGTGGCGAGTCACTTGCACGATCATTTTCTGCGCTTGAAAAGGAGATTGATGCCCTTGTGTTAATGAGAGATCACTGGCGAAGAGAGAGTGAAAAGCAGGCTCGTGATACGAAAGAAGCGCAGTCACAGGTGCAGTCACTGGAAAAAGAAGCCGCTGCTAAAGATGATGAGTTCAAGGAAACGATGGAGGAGGTGGCGCGAGTCCATAGCAAGAACGCACAGGAGCAAAAATCTCACTTTGAACAATGTGTCGCTGATGTGGAAAGTGAACGAGCAGCACTGGAGACCAACCTGCAGGAAGAAGCCGCTAAGCGTGTCGAGGAACAGGAGAACAATGCCAAACTGCAGCAAGTGGTGGACGGCTTTGAAGAGGATGTTCCAGTCTTCGCAACGATCCTTCATCTCTTCGTCCTCGTAGTGCAGCCACTCATTCTCCAAGTCAGTGATTTACTAGCTCAAAAGCGCTATCTCACTCGCGAAAACGCCAAGCTCGCTCAAGCTCAAGAACAGATCGAGTGTATCGGCCAAGTATTAAAGGAGATGATTCCAGCTACAGCGCAGAATGAAGAGAAGATCAAAGAACGACAACGTCGACGAGTATTCCGACGTGTGGTGATTGCTGTGTTTGCCATGAACCGGTTCCAGCGCTTCACCTATTGCGGTACCGATAATGGCCATCAGAGTGCATATGGACTCTCAGCACCGCTCAAGATGGTGAAGTCCAGAAAGACAACGAGTACGTTGTCATCTCAATCTACGATTATCAAGGTGCTGCCTCCGCAGCAAACATCGTCGAGACTTTCTCTTCGTCCCCTATTGGAGCGACTCAAGAAGATGGACATTACGGGCAAAGCTGCTCAAGTGATGGAGTCGAACGCAACTTTATCGGGGCATTTGCCTTCTTCTCTCGGCACTTTGATTCTTAAAGTAGTTATGGCAACCAACCCAGCGTCGAAGGAGCTTCTAGTGGCCAGCTCCAGTGGAACCTTCCACTGCCAAGCTTTACTGGAGCGTCGACGTCGATCAAACAAGAAACGAATGGATCAGCATGATGATACACTGGCAGAGTATGATAGTTCTCTGTCTTTTGAGGAAAATGTTCCGACTGTGGCGTTGATTCGGAAACGGATTCTAGCTCTTGGCAAGCGAGTGGAAGACCTGCACTATCAGCGGAACTCACTGCAGAAAGAGAATTACGAGCTCCAGTTCCAACTGGACCAACAAGCCAATAGCTTGAAAGACATGGAGGTTTTGCTGGAAAAGACTCGAGATCTTCAAGATGATATGGTGGCTTTACGCAGTGAAACTGACCAAGAACTTCAAAGAGCACAGCAGAGACAAGCAGCAAAGGACCAGGAAATGCAATCAAAGGAAGACGAATTAATCCAAGCAGCAACGAAGATTGACGCACTGCAAACTGAGATTTCACATGCTGAAAAGCGGATTGAAAGGGCGGAAACGGAGAAAGGCTCGTTGCAGCGAGAACTTGACCAATTAAAGAGTAGTTCCATCGAAGAGGAAGAGAAAGCCGATAAATCGAAATCCGCAGCACGTCGGCAGGAAGAGGAAGTCCGAAGTCTCAAGCAGGCTGTCAAGAAGGCGCACGACCTCTATCAGAGGGTTAGCTGGCAATTAGAACAGGAGGTTCAGGAGAAAGCGGCGTTGCAGACGGTGGTGAATCACTTACGTCACCAACAGGCGAAGGCACAGCGAGAACTACGCGAGGAAAAACTACGAGAGTTGGAGAAAAGTTTCAATGACACTGAAAGTGACGAAGACGACGTGGAGCAA